TGTCTCTTGTCAACTCAAGAGCTGGCATCGGCACTTACACATTGGGAGCACCGAAGGCTCTGCAAGAACGCCAGCCGCGCAGGAGTAGTTGTGGCAGCCCTCGACCCAGGTGTGGCCGTCGGGGTACACCTCTGGCCCCACCTCGCAGCCTTTCCGATATAAACATTTATCATTTTTGATAATGAACGTTTACGGAAGGTTTTTGCAGAATGGCAAATGCACGTCTTGCATGATTTAACTGACTCATTTTAAGTTTATTTATTTACATTTCAATTTTGCTTACAGAAGGCTTTGTACTCACACGAAGGAACAAGTTCGGGATCGCCCAGCAAGCCAGCGTTGCAGGTGTAATGGTAGCAGCCCTGTGTCCAGGTGTGGCCGTCGGGGTACACTTCCTCGCCCATCTCGCAGCCTAGGAAAGATTGAGAACCTTAACAAGGCTGAACTCCGGCTGATTTGTAATAAACGAAAACTTTATGATTTCAATCCTGAATCAAATAAACGGTCATCATACTTGTATGTTCACTTCAGGAAGCCAGTTTATTTCAAAACAAAACAACTATGATCCTTACAGGTAGAGAGAACTGACACAGTTTCCAAAGAACCAGCGGTGCAGGTGTAGTTGTGACAACCCTCCGTGAAGGCGAAGCCGTCGGGGAACGCCTCCTCTCCGACCTGGCAGCCTGAAAGTAGATTTAGCCGACTTCCCAGTTTCTCGTTACCATCGCTATCACTCAAATTATAATTTTTAGTCCTAACCGCATGGATTATCGGACCATGAAATGAATAGACAAATATAATGTGCTTTAGAGTACCTATTAATTCCACATATACCCCACTGATGTGAGTATATATCAGATTACTTACAGGTAGGAAGTAGAATTGGGTCTTCCAGAATGCCAGCAGTGCAGGTGTAGCTATGGCAACCTACAGTCCAAGTGTGGCCATCGGGGTATACTTCGTCTTGTACTTTGCAGCCTGGAAAATGGTGAGAGGTGAAATTTGCCGCCTCTTCATTTTTTTACACGATCACAGTGTAAGTCGAACCTGCCTGCATAAATACAAAAATCACATTTCACCTGTAAACAAACTTATGGATATATCTTATTTGCGACTGCTATTGATATCTAGATTGTGGCTCGCATGAGAATATGCTTACACGTGGGGGATATCATGGTGGGTTCAGGCGAGCCGGAAGCACATGTGTAGTGGTAACAGCCTTCCTCCCACTCGTCGCCGTCCGCGTGAACTCCGTCGCCTTGCTGGCAGCCTGGAAAGGTTAAGGCGGCCGTCAAGCTTCCCAAAGATGCCATCTAGAAGATTCTCTCTCTCTCAGTCTCTATCCATTCGTCTTCCTCCAAAATTCCCTTTTTTTCTCCCTCTCCATTTACCTGCCTGTCAGTTTGTCTCTCTCTCTACCTGTCTCTTTGCATGACTCTCCCTCACTCCCCATCCCCTTTTTTCGCTATCTATCTCTTCCTCCCTTCCTCCTTCTCCCTCTCACTTTGTCTGTTAATCAGTCTCTCTCCTCTCTCCTCTCTCTCTCTCTCTCTCTCTCTCTCTCTCTCTCTCTCTCTCTCTCTCTCTCTCTCTCTCTCTCTCTCTCTCTCTCTCTCCCTCCCACCCCCTCCCTCTCTCTCTCTTTCTCTTTCTTTCCTCTCTTCTCTCTCCTTTCTTTCCTCTTTGGTCTCTCTCTCTCCGTTCTTTCTTCTCTTCCATCTCTCTCTCCTTTCTTTCCTCTCTTTGCCCTCTCTCTCTTTCTTTCTCTCTCTCTCACTCTCTTTCTCCTTTCTTTCCTCTCTCTCTCTCTCCCATCCCTACCTCCCTCCCGCTCCCCCATTCTCCCTCTCTCTCTCTCCTTTATTTCCTCTCTTTGCTCTCTCTCTCTCTCTTTCACACACGCACTTTTTCTCTCCCTCTGCTACTCTCTTGACCAAAGTCATCCTTTGTTTCTCTCCACCACTGTCTACCAACTTACACGTGGCAAGGATCGCCAGGGTGTCAACGGAGCTAGCGTTACAGGTGTACCGCATGCATCCATCGGTCCAGTTGTGTCCGTCAGGATAGACTGCTTCTCCCACTTCACAACCTGTTTGAAAAACAACCCATAACTGGTTAAATTGTAAATTAAGTGAGGTTAAATAATGTATACATCTGATGTACTATTGTGTAACAGAGTTCGGTCTTCTAGCCAGCCACTGTGGGAGCTCGAATCACCTGCTTTCCACTTCCATAAAACCTCGCCATTTGCCGTTTCATGTATAATTTTTCAAACTAAATATTTATGAATTATAGGGAAAATATTAAGCAATCTCTGTTTACATCATTGTTACAAATCATTCCTCTAAGACATAGTCTCATATTAACAAGATAACCGGCAAACATTGGGTTAACGTTAACGAAAAAGCTTAACCGTTCGGCGAAGTGTTACGATTTTGCTGCCAGTTCTGTCCAAGCGTGAAGTCATTGTTATGGCTCCACCCACCGTCTGTAATGCGCC